AGAAACACAGCTATTTTCTCCAAAACTTACATCAAATCAGTCTAGAGCAAAGGGTGTCAAACATAAGACATGTGGGCCAGAATCGACCTGGCAAAGACTCCAATCTGGCCCACTTGAAGGCTTTGAAAAGTGTGATGGAGCGCATAGATTAGGAACTCTTTGTATTTTTATACGTTTTAACAGCTTTTCCTACTTATAAAGACCATTGTCATCCTGTATTTGCCATCCTCTTTCCTCTATGTACTAAAGAAATTAGTTTTCTTCCTAAGGTCAGTCCATATCAAAAACCTACAAATATACAAACAAAAAACAAAACAAACATTACAAATACAGGTCAGTCTGGGCAAGGAGCTACTGGAACCTTTTCCACGGTTATTGTGCAGAAAACTGAGATGTAGTGTTGAAATTGCACTGCTTTTTCTTGTATTAAGCCTTCTCAAAGATTAAATGTATACTTAAATGTCTTTACACTGACAGATAGGTTACTTTCACTGGTCCATCCCACCTAATGATCAAAGCGGGCTGCATGTGGCCCACAGTGTAAAATAAGTTCGACATCCCTGATCTAGACTGATAAATAGCTACAAGCCAGAGGAAAAACATGCACATTTCATTTTTGAGTAAATGGTCCCTTTAATGCCTGTAGGGATACTTGTCTGCAACACCGCAGCAAAATAAACTGCACGTGTTTCTGAAAGCAATGGAAGAAAAAACAACAACAAAAAACCCCCCAATAACCCCGAAACAAACAAACAAACTACCGAGCTAAAGAAGCAGAGAAGAATGAAAGTAAATGCAGCCTCATCCTAGCCAGATCCCCGATGGTAAGAGTGCAGGCACTATTTTTAAAAAACACTCCCGGTATTTTTGTGCGTAAAAAAACAAAAATGCCTTTGCAAAGTCTGAGAAGAAAGACCAAACAGAAAAAAAAGAATGAATTCTTTAGCTGGACTCTCCCAAATCTGTGAGATATCTCTGAGGTAATCATTGAAGTATGACTCATTAGACAGCAATAAATACCAACATGAATACAAATATTATAAAAGTAAAAACAGAGGCAAATGCTTAATGCTAAAGCAAAATCTGAGCTAAAAGAGGTAGGTTTTCTTTTTAGGTAGATTATGGTGTACATCCATTGTGGACACTCCTCTTTTTTGTAAGAACTACATTATGTTGATTCCATTACAATCCCTGTCCTAAAGGGAGGCGCAGAAAGAATACAAAATAAAGACTTCAAATCATTTGCACGGGAGATGGCCAACAGTCCTCTGTGAAGGCTTTCATACATGTTTTCAGACAGGATTTGTAATGGCAACAGTTACACACGCATGCACGCCCACACGCACGCACGCACACACACGCACGCACACACACGCACGCACACACACGCACGCACACGCACGCACACACAAAACACCTCCTACAACATCTACGAATATGATAAACTGTAAAGCTTGCTGGTGATAGTGTACCATGAGCTGTATATTGCAGGCATTGTTACTGTGTTACGTCGCAGTTCTTACGGATATCTCAACAAAGATGGCTCCATCTATTTTGAGGTCGGATTTCCACTGATGTATAGATTACAAGTTCCAGTATTAGAACAACTACAATGTAGAGTTAAAAAACCCAAAACTGATTCTGAGCAGCCTATCACGATGAAACCAAACAGGAATCTCTGGGAATGAACCACAATCAAATTTAACTTTATTTATGAGCTGTATACCGTGTTGGGAAAGAGAAAAGAAAAAAAAATCAGCAATAAGACATTCGGTTTGTTTAAAAAAAAAAAAAAAAGGAGGGGGGGGGGGGGGGGGGGGGGGGGGGACTGAAACTCTATCACTACACAAATACTAACTGCTCGTTTTATACATCCATAAGAGTTTTCCTGTTCGGTTTTCAAACCCCCAAACTCAACTCCTCTTTTTACCCTGTTCGTGTGTGGAGGGAACTCTCCCTGTGGCACTTACATATTCATCAAACCTCCTACTGTATTTAAACATACACAAGTCAACACTGCAACCTCTATCTCAAAAAAAGGAAACAGAACAATTTCAAAGCCATATCTACATACAGGGGTATGTATTTCAAAATAAAATCAACATGGAGACTTTTCCAAAAAATAAAAGAAGTCAAAAGTCAGTATTCAGTAACCAAGCACATCACACCCCTCATCAAACTGACATACTATACATACAAATGGTACTGCCTAACGACACTCGAGCTTCAACTCCTTAAAGATCAATCACAGCAGGGTAATTTGTGGGGCGTGCGGATTTTTCTGTTAGTATATTATATTATATATATCTCGATGATTTCTAGGAAGAGGGCAAAATTAAATGATAATACAAAATAAATCAAGCCTATTATGTGACTACAAGAACACTGAAAAAAGCGATCAAACGGTTTGTGATATGCGGATTATCTAAGCGTCGAGCCCCAGCTGTCAGCTTGTGGCGTTTCACAGTGACTGCAGAGAGTTGGAATAAAGCCACAGTGATGCTGAATGGACTTTAAACTGTTTAAAAACAGATCAAAGCGACACCTGTCACAACTTCTCACAAAGCAGTTGTGAGAAAAACTCGCCATCTTCCTCACAGAGTAACCCTGGTCTACTGAGATGAAGGAAAATCTGTGTGTGACAAATGTGGACCGGACGGTCAATTGCAGGAACTCTTTAAAAGATTTCTTTTGTCACACAGCAAATACAGGACAAAGAAAAAGAAAATATAAACTTTTATATTTAATTCTTCAAATGACTTCCTTTAAGCAACACTGCCTCTAGTGAAATCATGAGCACTTGGCAGGAAATCGACTTTACTTTAGGGAATTGTCTTGATGTAAAAGATATGTTGTCTTGTATAATTTTACCATAATCCCACATGCAGCAAGCCATATATTACTGGCCTGTAAACTGAAGCATTTAAAGTCTCTTGGCAGTTTGGTTTATAAGCCATTAAATGCTGTCTGATGAAGCATAAGCCAAAGATGACGGACAGCAGAGAGAAGGCATACAAGTTCTTATCATATACAAGTTCATTTTCCAAAAGCCACAGATAAATAGCATATGAATTCAGCAGATGGCACAATGAGAATGTCCAAGGTTCTGGAGTCATCATTTTGATGTACTGTAATGTACCAGGTGTATAGCTAGCTTAGTAATCTACATGGCTTATATTTGAGAGCAGCACGGTTTGTTTAGGTTGTCCTTTTTTTTCTGAGAATGAACCTTGGATATTCACATCAGTCAACCACTAAACAAAGAATCGTTTGAGTGTGTCAAATATACAAGCAGTTCCCTGTTTAAGCCATTCCTAAATACCCCCCCAAAAAGGAACAAAGACAAGAAAAACAAAGATCAAAGACAAAACAAAGAGCATAGTGTTGGAGAACATGGTGCTTATGGGTCAGAAACAAAAAGTCAGTTGTGTTTGCATATATATTTTTGAGGAAAAACAAAACAAAACAAAAGAATCTATGTAGCCCTATGTACAGCGGCAGACATTATTTATATATACCTGGTATTTACACAATGCAGCCACTAGAGGGCCACGCAGCATACATCATCAAACAGGAGGGCCCGGGTGGAGGACGTGCACAGCAACACCACCACAACCAGGCCCCTGGACATTCTAGAAAATCCGCTTCCCAGTCAGAAACGAAAGGGGTGTGATATCTGTGGAGGTCTGAAACAGCTTCCCAAGCTCTCCATCCACTGAGCTCACTGTATACTGAGGAGGAACAATTCATGGAATTGTTTTTAAGGTGAAGTGACATATAAAAAACAACAACAAAAATATCTATTGCAATTATATCCGTAGCTATGCCAATTCTGAGTATGCTATGCAGCTATATATTAACAAGGCAGGCCCTTTGCTTTGCCATCAATTTACTATTCCAGTTAGATTTGGCATTTTAGCCCTTTAAAATCTGTGATAACATAGATACTGTATATCAATACATAGGCTTGAGTAAAAGGTGGTATAACAGTGCTTAGGATACATTTGATAGCAATTCTCTATTTACACGGGAAAAAATAACAACAATTAAACAAGAGAGGAGAATAATGAAAACAATTTCAAAAGAGAGCAACAAGCCATAAGGTTGGCTTGGTTTGATTGACAGTTAGCAGTGTAAAAGTAGCTAATACATTTAGTGGCTAATTCTCGCCTCAAAACCAGGCACCCTAAGGTCCTATCAGAACCTCACTAAATTACAGTCTAAGCTCTGTACTCTGCTGTATAAACCTATAATAATATAACATTTTCCTTCATAGGCTGTGAGGCTAGTCAGACAACTTGCCGAGCGGCTGCATGAGTGAAGCGAGCCAAGGAGCAGCAAGGTTATTTTTAGGTACTGGAAGCTTTTTGAGAAAGTAGTTGACCATACCTTTGGTGAAAGGTGAAAGGCATGTATTTGATTTGTACACAAAGTCATATACATATGCTGCCTTGGAGAGAAGCAGATTAAAAAACAAAAAACCCCAAAACAAACAAACACATAAAAATACATGATTTCTGAAAATCATCAAAAAATTCAAAGTAATGTGCAGGCACTGCGTTTGCACTGGTAAACTGAAATGTAATGCGTACTGTATCTAAATTGTTCTGAGTAAAAGTTTCACATTGGTGATGTAAATATAAAAACAACCCCAGTAAAACCAAGAGGTAGCTCAACTGAATGGCTAAATGAATAACTGAGTATGCTTGTTGTGTTGGTGTGTGCACCACAGGTACACACAGGTAATGTCCAGGCATTTGAAGCAGCTGTTTGTTGATTTAAATACAGACAAAAACACTGTATATAGCCAGAAGTCATATGTATAGTTTAATTTGTACTATCTGAAATTCCCTTGTTTACGCTATCTCTTCATATCTGCTTGCTCTCCTGCACAATCTTGGCCTCTACACCAAGACAGACTTCTTTATATGGGAATCCACACACACATGCAGTCGCACTCGCACTCACGTGCGCAGACACGCAGACACGCACACACACAATTTACTTTCTCTTTTTCATTTGCTTCATACACCACACCTGCATCTAGTCCAACCAGGACATTCTCAGCTCCCCTCTCTCTGTTTTTCTCTACCTACTGGGGTCTTGCCGCCAGCTTCCTCCCCGACCAACTGAGGTTCGGAGATTGCTTCTAGGAGACTTCACTGCCAAACACCTCCAGCACCAGTGGAGTGAGCTGCATGCTGTGCTCCGGCTGAAAGGACAGTGAGCGGTACTGTTTGGAGTGCTCCTCGTTAAGACTTCGCAGGTCGGCCAGCTTTTGGATCATCTTGGCGTAGAGCAGCCTCCCTCCCGGGTGGTGAAGCCTGATGTAGGCTTGCAGAGTCTCCGACAGTCGGTCTTGCAGAGCTTCGATCCGTGCATGATCCTGCACACTTGGGCGGTCTGCAATGAGGGAGGGGGGAAGAGACTCAGTGGCTTGATGTTAGGGAACAGAAAATAGCTTTTGAAATCTAACTGTCAGAAAGGATTATATCATTTGTGTTTATTGTGAACTAGCATACTGAAGAACAAGCAGAGGATCCAGTCATAATTCGTTTAAAAGCTTTGTGCTGCTTGTCACTTTTATATAATCAAGTGGACATATGCACAAATAATAGCAAAGTTGGCAACAATGTTTCAAATATTTTCTGTTGCAAGAAGGATACACCTCTATACTCAAATCATTCCTTCTACAGTCCTTTCTCCACACCTACACTACCTGGAGAAAGCAGACAGATGGCCATCAGCAGCACGTGCTCCTCCTCTTGCAGGTTGAGCTTCTTCAGTCCCACCTGGAACTTTACCAGCGGCTCCAACAGCTCCAGAGTGTGTCCCGCTGCAGAAGAGAAACATGCCATTAAAATGTGTAACCTACAACTCATTTCAGTGAAAATAGGCGATCAAAGAAATATGACCAATTCTTGTTAAGACTTCATTTTCATTCTCAGCTTTGTTTACACTAAAACCCGGCAATTTCTGGCTCGCACAATTGTCTAATTACCAAAGTTGAATTAGGCTCGTTGTACAGACTAATAAGAAACAGCAAAGCTAAATTTTGCATGCAAATGAGAAGACACACAATTATATATATAACAAAGAAAACCCCAACTAAAATTCATAAAACACCAGTAGGCAGATCTCAACACTGTCTTTCTTTTGTCCTTACAGCAGTAAACATGGCAGCATTTAGACTGATGTTTGGACTGACCTTTGGTGACGTCACTGATCTGATATTTAAAGTCAGGTCCACCACAGCTCCAGGACATGTCTTCCAGGTTGAAGCTTTGATTTGAACGCAGCATGATCACCTCAATGGCACTGGACTTGAGCAGAGCAATCTGGTCCTCTGCAGTCAGCTCTCTACAGAAGGAAACAGAGGAATGACAACTTCCAGGAAATACGGGCCCTGACTCGTTTCAGCCTTGACCCCACGAAACACTGTGGATTTGTCAACGTAAACACAAGGAGAGAGTTTCATGTGTGGAAGGTGGGACCCTGGTCAGCCATTCTAAATTTGTTTTTGTAGACATGTAATTTATTCTATGTGTTTAGAAAAAAAAAAAAAAAAAGATAAATCAGTTTTTCCTGGAGGTGCCCAACATAACCTGGTATGAAAGGAGATCCAGGAATTAATACTAAGGATGGTATAATCAATAAGTTATTTATCTATTGTGCACTAGGGACTGAAGAAATCATGAAAATACATTTGCTATTTACAGGACTGCAGAAGGGGGCAGCATCCATAGGTAACATATATAGTATATAGGTAGATAAGTTGGCAAATTTAGCAGTTTTATTAGCTCAGACTTTTACTAATTTAAAAAAGTGAAGTGAAATTTGCCTTTTACATTTTGGTTTCCTTTTTGTTGCACAGTCTAGCACATTCTTGAAAATGTTTGGCACCCATGTGTGAACTTCAGTAATCAGTAAAGCACCTTTCAAGGTTCAAATGGCTGCCCCATTAAAGACAGATTGCCATTTTGCTGTTCTATCCCTCTCCAAATATTTTTCTGTATAGTTTTGAAGTAGTACCCTTGTAGAAGGCAACTAGTTCAATCTGTGTCAATGGAGTAAGACATGATGCAAAACTTAGTAATATGTGTCTTTATTAAAAGGTCCCTCTGATCCTGTACAGATTACTGTAGAAACCACCAAAAAAACAACAACCCCAAACTATCACAATCTGTTAACTTTGTGTGCATCTCACAAATCATCTGTTTTGGTTTTGTTAATTATTTTATAAATAAATAACTATTCATTAACTCTATGCTGATATCATGACTGAAAATCCATAGTTACGGAAACATGAAAATAATTGTTTTAAAAATGTACATGAAAATGAAGATTGCTCATAGATCTGACTCTATAATGACTCCCTTACTGATTCCTGATCATAATAGCACACCTACACAGGTTTTCAGGTTCAACAACCGTTTTACTATCTTAGTCCAAACAAGTAGAAAGGAGTAGAAAAGAAAATATGCCTGCCTGCATGTGACTCAGCTGTGTAAAAGCTCCTCTGCTATGTGTTTGACATTACTGTTTTGCAATGAGAACTGCCAGAAAAAAAAACATGCCAGCATAGATAAAAGAAACTGATAAGCTTGGATACAGGCTTGTCCTCGATACTGTGCTTGCAACTCCTCAAAGAGGTTTCACTCATAGTCATAAGAAAATCATTTCCACTGTAATAAAATTCTTTTAAAATTGTTTTTGTGAAACTGGATTTCGTTTACTCAAGTAAGCAGACAGAGTACAGTACGCAATCTGTGTAATCTATGGCCTTTGGCCCAAAGCCATCACTATGCCACAACAACAAATCAGGCAGAAAAAAAACAAGTACAAAGTCCTCAACACCAATTTAGGTAAAGTGTCACTGAGACAAGCAAATAAAGAATACGTAAAGAGAGATCACAAAAGCACATTTAAGCAATCAGAATCAGAATATATATTAATCCCTAAGGAAATTATGTGGGTTACAGTTCCTCGAAGACAGTAACAGACTAAACTATTTAAATAATACAATACGTTACTGAGTTTACAAATTTAAGAAATAGCATTAATACATACAAATGGCTCAAATAAAGGATTCGATTTTTCTAGAGCTGCATATGCTTTACTATTTTAATGAGAGCCACACACACGGACGCACACCTAAGATAAGATAGATAAGATAACTCTTTATTGTCATTGCACAGTCATGCATAGTACAGTAGTACAATCAAATTGGAAAACTGTCCTATGTCGGCACTACATATAACACAACACGACACAATATGACACATCACAACGCAACAAACAACACAACACAGTATATTAACTTAGTATAAAAAAGAAGAATAAGTGTATGTGTATTGCACACTGTTATTATTGCACATTAATTATTATTGCACCTCGTTATAAATATAAATATTATTATTGTTATTGTTTGGTATGTGACGAAACTGCTTCACATACAGTTTGGAATGTGAAGGATACCAAAATGCTCAAAAAAAATCAAGAACATTTTAAAATCTCTTTTCTTCCTGTCAGTGACTTTACTGTCTGCCATGAGACACACAGATGAATAAATGAAAAAAAAAATCAGCAACCTAAAAACAAAATTGGTCAGACGTCAATTATTGTAATGTTATTTAGTAATTATTCTAATTTAATTAGCCTTTCTTGACATTTTAACATCGTTTTATAATTACTAAGAACATTTTTTGGCTGCACTAAAGGTCAGGTTAATCAGAAAACACTCTTGATTCTTTTGACTGACATCAGTCAGAGTGCACGCATGTACCTGAAACCGGGAATCATCTTGGCAAAGCCGATGACCTTCTGAATACTATAGGAGACCAGGTCAGCCAGATGGGGCAGCATAGAAAAGCTAGAGCCTTCTTCTTCACTGGAGTCAGGACTGCTGCCCTGATCCTGGTACATCATCAGCAGGTTGTTGAAAGTCATTTTGGTGTCAACTGACTCTGCAGTGATCATAACACAGAGAGCAGAGAGAGGGGGGGGGGGAAGAAAGAGATCAAACATGAAGCAAGAAGAGTAAAGTGGTCACATGACGGCATGCAACAATTTCACACCATTTCAGTGTGAATATGCACTCAGAGCAGCAGTTGTGAAAACAGAGAGGGCTTGTTGGTGAAGCTTTACGACTTTAAGCTAAGAGGAAGTGCGCTGAATATCCTCTGAGTGCAACTCCGAGAACATAGGAAGCTTCAGAGCTTGCTGTGGTTGTTTTGAGCTATCCGTCTCTGCTGTGTGCTAAGGCACATGACCCTTGCTGTGCTCACACCATTACTGACATATGCAGTAATGAACTGAGAAGCCAGGTGTCTGAGGAGTGCAGGTAATTCACACGATTTCCACTGAATTCCCAGTAAAGCAGATTATATAAGTTAACGTGAAAATAACTGAACTGGAAAATGAAATCCTTTTCCAAGTCAGGTGTTCACTCTTAGTAATTTTCCCAAAACATGTCTACCAGAAAGAGGGGGAAAAAAGGGTGTTTTCTGACTGCAAGCCATTAGTAATTTCTGCTTTAATATCTTATAATTGTAGCCTTTTTCTCGTTTTTGGAAAGACACTGCTTTCACTTGATTGCCAGCGAAGTCTTCACAGAATGTGAATTTTACCTGGAGAGTGACTGAAAGAATCAGAGGAGGCATCAGACAGGGAGTGGAGAGAGGCAGCTCTGCTAGCGCTTCGTGTCACTGGGCCCTCACGCACAGGGGGCTAGACAGGAGAAAAGGGCACATGTAAAGGTTTCACGCAGCAAAAATTAAAAAATAGACAAGCATTTGATCTAAAAGTACGCTATTTTTCTGCTGTAAAATAATCCAAACTTTTATGTAAACTGGGTTAGGGTTTCATTAATCAATAATCAATTTAAAACCATTATGGTAAAATAAGGTGAACTATGTTTGACTGGATGATGTTAATTTGATGAAGACACAAACCCTAAATCGGCCGAAGTCAGAATAGGAGTCGTCATATGTTTTATGGTGAGCCTCCACCAGCGTGGCAATGATCTGACTCTGTTCTTCGGTGAGTCTGGGTCGCCGTGCCTCTTTCTCCGCTTCGCGCTGTGCCTCCTCATCCTTCCTCCGCTGAATCAGGTCCTTCTTCCTCTGCACTTCCTCATCTGTCAGAATGACTGGATGGGGAAGATCGAGAGAAAGTGTGAGAATTGTCAGCAAAAGAGAAGAAAAGTGCACAAATAAATTCTTTGCATGACAGTTAAGCTCAAACACATATACAAAGACAACATTAACCTGTTAGCAGTCGGACGTACCGCCCACGGTACATTGGATGGTTTAGGGGACTAATTGTAAATTTGTAGGACTGCTAAGGGGTTAATGCAAAGAAAGAATAGGAAATATCTGGGGTTAAACTGGGAAAAATGAAGAAATGTATAAAAAGTTATAGTAACAGAAGTTCTAAGGTACACCACTTTTAAAGCTTTTCAGTCTGGATTTGTGTGCTACATTGTGTTGACAGCTATGTCAATGTTGTGCTGGGTAAAGGGTGTCTGTTGTTCTCTGGAGGAAGAGAAAGGCCGGGGATGGGTCCATATGGAGACCCCTGCTGCACTGAACAACTGAATGCATTGTCTTTGTTCTGTCCGCTCCTTGTTGTTCAAGCCACTGAATTAGCTCACAGAAACAGAGAGAGAGGCAGAGAGAGAACTGGCTCTCAACAACATGCTGCTGGTTTTGTTTTGTTTTTTCACTTTTAACAGCAACAGCAACGACACTGGCTCCTGTTCACATGCAATAAAGTGAAGTGTTGTTGCCGCTACAAGAAACTTTTTTTTTTTATTGGAGGAGGGAGTGGGACATTTGGTTGGCAGGGAGAGACTTGGACAATATCCGGATATTAGCAGAAGAGGAGAAAACACATATCTGCTATTTACAGACTATAAAAACAAACAGCAGTGTGTGGAAAGAAGAACCCTGGCTAGACGGTACATTAGGTGTTTAAACTTCACATGGAGTATACTTACTGTACACAATGTGAGGAGGAACTGTTAGTTCAAATGAAATATGTAAACACTAAAGGAGCAAAGACCCAGAGATACTTGACCTCAGACCAAACATTACATAATGGTTACAAGCAGGACAGCAAGCCCCCATGGTAGCAAACACCACATGTGTACATTTTACTGTGAATTCAATAAAAAGAAACAAGAATGCTTTAATGTATCTAACACACAAATCTGTACACAATGTGTACATTTTTCAAAGTAGGAAGTCGGTCTTGGGCGGTCCGGAATTCCAACATTATATCCTGGATTGGTGTGAGGTCCGGCATCCAGGGAACAAAGGCTTGTGGCTTCATTTTCAAGCCCATGTGCTATGCAGTTATTTCAAGAAAGAAGAAAAAAACTGATTGTTTTTTTATAAGAGAAGTTTTATTTATTTATTTATTTATATAATTATTGTAATTTATGCTTTTAATCTTAATTATTTTGTTTCTTTTTGTGGCTTTTATGTTTTCTATGTATCTTTTTTAAATGTTAATAGCTCAATTGGAAAGCATTTTAGGACAACTTTTGTTGTTTTTTTATTTTATGTGCCATTTAAATAGAAATGATTTGACTTCAGTAATTAATAACCTGGTTTATTAGAACTGCAATCTGAACCCAAATTGAATCCACCTACATATGCGGGTTGGGCCAGTAACTGAAGACAAATGGGTGACCTGTCATACTTACACTCTTTCATCATGCCAATGTCCACACACCGTTTGAGGCGGCATGCCTGGCAGTGGCGCCTGTTGTCCTTGGTGATGGTGCAACTGCCGTTAAAGGGACATGTGAAGGTGGCCTTGCGCTTCATACTGCGCCTAAATATATTGTACACATTACACAGTATATTAAAATACAAACATAATGAAGTCTGTTAGCGCACAAAAATAAAAATCAAAGAATTAAATTAATACAACATTTATTTATTTATTTATTTATTTTTAAAGAGAAAGAGAAGAAGAACCTTAAAAGTGTTTGGCTGAATTCAACTGCTAAGGCAATGTGGAAACCTTTTGACAAATTATTTTGAGAGAATTACAAGACATCAAGAAATTCTGTACTTTCCCCCGTCTTTTACATAAATAAATAAAAGATACCGAATAATCAAAATGCTGACTAAACAGGTTACCGTCTTTGTGCAATTTAAAAACAGCTGTATTTAAGAAGGTGGAAGGGCAGATTGATTAAATGTAATGACCTGAATAATAACACTAGAAGACAGCAGAATCATCTCCAACAAAAACAAAATGGAGAAGCTTCATAAATAAATTACAGCAGCACAGGTTGTGGTAACTGGATGTTGGGAAAAAACTGACATCTGTCATTTTGCCAGGTTAGAACACTGATGCCGGGGCTACTGAAACAATAAATGATTTACAACACTGTTAAGAACAGCATCGGTGGTCTGTTTCTTTCACAACATAATATTAAACATACATGGCGGAATATACCCATGACCACTACGGGGGTCACAGGTGCTGCTACTCTTTAGTGCAGAGGGGGCACGTGCAATCCTGTCAGTCAAGTGAGAATCTGCAAATTCAAAGATCTTTGTTGACTTCTTATCATTTCCCTGAGAGAAAGGTTCCTCGGATTATAATCAAAGGGTGCTGGGAATATCAGTTTTCAACTTGATAACAGACAAAGTATTAAGCTTTTAGAATAACATAACAATTAATTAACAACAAACAAACAAACAAAAAAAACATCAAATGGGAAAAAAATGAATGCCTGCCTCGATACATTGATTATTCTTGAGCAATCACCTCAGTCCACATACTTCATATCTGCCTATTAAGACATATTGACTGTGGTGTTTAAGCGTCTCTGCTTTAACTGCAGATAAATAAATAAATAAATAGCTTTTTGGGACATTAACATAGAAAGTAACTGCAGTTAGTATTTCTGTTCATCTTTTTTCTCCAAGGCTTCACAAATCCATACTCTTTCTCGTTATTAGTTATTATCAGCTGTAATGCTACTGTACAGGTCATTTAAGAAAAAAAATCCTTACAATTTTTATGACCCTGTCGAGAAAATCTAATATAACCTCTGGATGGCAGAGTTGTTGCACTTGACTGCATTAGATTTTATAGGCATGCCTAATAAAATGGCCATTTAGTGTATAAATAAGTGCAAGAAATTTTAGATTTTATATTAAACATTTTATATTTTATTTCTGAATTAAAAGTAAAAGTAAAAGTTCTGTATATACTGTGTCTAGTTACACACCGTCAACGACCTCCTCCACCTGGTAGCCTCACGTGCTTTTTATTACTGACTTCTTAGAAAATCAACAACATAAACTGACTATTGCTTGCTCAACATACTTTATCTAGGCCATCAGACCCAGATAAATATTTTTGACCTTCAAGTCTGAGACTGACTAAAAGTAAGTCAAAGGCAATCTACGGGACAAAAATTTGTCCTGCCAAACGGTGATGCAAGGCACAATGATTTACTCGGTAATGGACATTTATGTATGAAAATGTATACACAGATGTGAGCAAAAACACGTGCTTCGTGAAAGTTCAAACAAGGGCCATCAGCGAGCCGAGGAAGGAGATTATTAAACATCCGTCTTTTTTTTCCCCTCCCCTCCCGTTATATATATCAACACTGCTGAGAGAAACAGGCGGAACTGCACGGACACATCAAACACACACACACACACACACACACAAGCCTGGCACAAAATCATGACTTGCTCCAGTTTCGTCTTTGGATAAATTGGAAACTCATGTCTGTATCAATGAGCAAGGAGTAGCCAAGACATTAAATACAGGAATGGGCTCGTTTGTATTCTCGGCCTGCTGCCGAGCATTAGTGTGGACACGAATGCTGTCAGCTGGTGTGTGTGTGTGTGTGTGTGTGTGAGAAGCTGTGGGCAGCGACTATACTTTATATCACAATACATATATATCATAATATAAGCATCTGAGTAGCCATTATATATGCAACTTGTGTGTACATGTGTCAGTAACTTATGCAATATTTTCCAATCATTTTGAGCTTTTTTTTTTCTGCTGGCCACACAAACGTTATATCTGCACAGGCGAAAATTAAAACCATCAATTTTTGTACCTGAAAAAGCCCTTGCAGCCCTCACAGGTCATGGCGTTGAAGTGGAAGCCAGTGGCTTTGTCGCCACAAACACCACAGATTCGTGGCACATTCCTATCGAACTCATCAGCGGCCACAGTGGACGTACTCACAACCGTGGGCTCCATCACTAAAAAGAGAGATGAAATCAAAGGAGGAAAAGGGGAAACAAAAAGACACAGTAAACAACACTGTAGAAACTGTATGCAACAATTAACACACACACACACACACACACACACACACACAAGAAAAAAAAAAGAAAACAAAGAAAAGAAAAATCGACACGCTTGCCCAACAACCAGCTAAGGACCCGGGGTGGTGCAGCTATTCAGGCTGAGGCACCTGATCTGTTGAATTCTCTACCTGGATCTGTAAGATCTGCCCAATGAGTGAATTCTTCAAAAGTCAGCTAAAGATGTAGCAGTTTAAAGGAACTGTTGAATTTCAGATACAGAATCTGCTTTTACATTTTGTGCACTTTTATTCTTTAATTCTTGCATTGCTTTCAACTTGTAATTTCTGCATGGCTTTAAATTCCATCATTTATGTGCATCCTACATAGATAAACTTTGATTATAGTTTGTATTACTTAATAATTTAATTTAATTAAAGCCACAGGCTGTGAGGCTCCTGAACTCTCTGCCCCCCTCTCACGGACAATAACCATATCCAACTTCTTAATAGCAATGAACTGGTCTGCATTGGTGCATCATATCTTTATTCTCTTCCCCCCCCCCCCCCCCCCCCCCTCTTTCTTAAATAGATAACTATCATATCTGATATCATATCTCACAGTACAATAATATTGAATGGGTTGCATTGTTGTACTTTGTCATGTTTCTCAGGTCTTTGTCTGAATTTCTACCAACATTACTTGTCATGTTCTCATGTTATTGCTAAGGATTGTCTATTGCATTGGAGTCACACTGGGTTAAATATGTACACTTGGGTTTTAAGGGGTATTTATTATTTTCTTCTTTTTTTGGGTTGTATGGAAGCCCCAAACGCAATTTCATTGTTCTTGACAATGACAATAAATAAATACTACATACTACTACTACTAATTTTTTACACTGACGCACAACACTACATATTTGAGAACACAGATAGTAAAAATAAAGTTCCACTGTCAGATTTTTAATTGTCTCTCAATTATTTGATTGTAAAAAGTGAAACACTTTGTTTTTTTTTTATTTAATCTTTGGCCCTTTTTTTAGGACTGCAACACCTCATCCTACTCTCTGCAGGGAAAATTAATTCTATGTTTTTGTCCAATGAGAAAAAATGAAGACATATGAATTGAATATAAAAAACCAACAAAAAAAACTTGTTAAACTTCAAAATGCTGAATCTCTGTAATTTGACTCTGAGGAGAAGAAAAAACTACATGTCACCACAAGGCTAGAATCCTCATGAACAACCGATGACTGTCTTTTTCACAAAGCTTCTTTCTTATTTCTTTTTTTGCGTGCACTCTACAGTTAAAGTGAGATAAAATGATTAAAGTATGTGAAGGAAAGGGAGGGTAAGTAAACCAGTAACCCTCTTCCTTAAAAAAACAAACAAACAAAAAAAAAAAACCCTAAAGAAAAGAAAAGAAAAACAGCCACTGGCATACCTGAATAATAGAAAAGTTTGACGGAGTCCTTCATCATTCACAGGTAATTAAGAAACAATATTCAGCCCAAAAGTCTCAGCGACTTTTGTTGCTTTTCTGTTAGTTCAACTGTGAATATTAATGGTGTTTTGTTAAATGAAGGTCTAACTCCTGGTCCAATTTCATTAAGGACGTTTAGTCTTCATTACAACAAAAGGTCAAAAGCAGAATAAAACAGAGGGTCTAGTCATTGCCCTTGTTCTTTGCATGCATCAAGTGTCTACAGTAGCTTCAACAGAGACCACATGCCTTAACCAGGAATATGTGCTATGGTACAGTAAGACTTGTCAACAAATATTTGTTTAGCCAATTCAGCAGATGGTCACACAAACGTCTGATAAACAACAGACCACAGGCAGACAACAGACAACTTTTCAGACTTTTCAGACTTTTCAGCCTCGCTTCTGAAACAGTGAGCCCCAGCGAGGTGATATAAAGAAAACTGAGCAATGTTTCGCATCCTACATAAGAAAATAGTTATACCTAGACTAAAATGGAGTAGTTTTGTGTGAAAGCTGGAGAGTATTTACCATCACACAATACTGGCTGTGAAAAAGCTTCTACGAATACTGTGGCGACCCTGTTTTGTTATTCCAACTAGTCTATAGTGACAGACTAGGCAGGGTGTGCCTAAACTCTTGTTGTTCTCTGTCGTCTCAGTGCATAGCTTGTGTTCTTTTCCCACCTCCCCTTTCTCACATCCCTTTCTTTCTGAGTGCAAAGTACACAAGTTGTCTCAAAGGTCCTTCAGAGACTGTTGGCCTATAAAGCTGCGCTAATCATCAATCATATGACCAAACATTAACAAAATTCATGTCTATGTGACAGTGCCCCCAGGTTATTTATTACATGGCTATGCTTGATATCCAGATGATGAAAATATAAATGAACATAGGTTTTACATTTCAAGCACTGGGGCTCCATGTATCCAAAATAATGAGCATTACCCTTGCTGGCCAGGATTCCGGATTTTGTTTGCAAACACCAGAATGACCCAAAACACATTTGAAGAGGCTGTTTCCAAAGCAAACCAAACAAACCCACAGATGCGTATACCACCTGGGTTAACCTTATGTTGTTGCAATCTTTGCCCCTAAAATTCTCATAGGTATGTGTTATAAAAGTTATATCCTCTAGTAGTTTTGCAGTGCCAGTAGATGGAAGGACTAACTCCTAAACAAAGAAATCACATCCAGGCAATGCAATGTCCCTGGGGGGGTCTCGTGGTGCTGATCTTTCTCACATACAGTCATAAAATTAAAAAAAAGCCTTTAGAAGTCCTGCTGGTATTTGGAAACGTGATACATTATCAAAAACCAAGAATACTCCATGATTCAGCAGAAAAAAGCAATGCTATGGCTGATTAAAATTTATAATAATCCTTTTCACGGGTCTAGTATAAGAACCACAAAGCTGTGAGTGCTGTCATGTAATATTACACAATTATGACCAGTATAAATGAGAAAAGACCTTTACAGAAAAAACAAAAACACACACACAAAACATAAAACAAGTTCTACTGAACACAGGAAAACTACTCCCAGTACACATTCACACTCATTACTCACTGTGAACCAAAATGCCCATTTGCTTCACTATATCATCAAATGATCACTGAAGTCAGCCTTCTGTGATTGCATTCAGGCTTGACAGGCCATTACACTAAATGCACAGTAGAATTGAGAGAGCTCTAAATAATGCATCAGGTTATTAGACCAGATCTGTAGTCATTCCAGTATTGGGCACGCAAAGCCAGGCGGCAAGTTTTGTAGCTTCGGGCTTCTACTGAACGTCTCACTCTTGAATGATATACATATTGTGTGTATGCCGCTTGCCATCAATCAAATCTGTCACTGTGGTAATCATGCAAAATAGTATACTACACTGTGTGTTATAGTGGTATAAAGTATAACACTGATTTGCTTACAGAGTTGAGGCAAAGGGTAAAAGAAGACATTATGGACATTGCAAGATATAACTCTGTACAATGACATTAACCATTTTTTTGTGAAAGGCTGTAAAGTTAACCTTTTGGTTTCCTCAATATTCTTGAGAGCCAGAAATTACAATATTTAAACATCAGAACGAAGTGCTAACTCGTTTAGCAAGTTGTACCCACAAACTGAACAGGTGAAATGCACAGGCATACTTCATTCTTCTAGTCCCAAGTAGAAGAATAATACAAAGGCTAGAATGTGCTTGTCCTACATTATATGTATACACAGCAAGACATAAAATGTGGTACCTAAGTCCATTATTAATGCTCCAAAAGGTAGCAACAGCACAAAGGTACAGTTCAGCAACTTTATCTAGAGAAGGGAAGAACGTTGCATGTGTCAGGACTAGGGCTGGGCTATATCATACCGTTCACGGTAATACCGGTGTAATTTTGGGCAACGATAGGAAAATGACATATTGCGACAGAATATGGGTAAAACGCGCATGCGCAGTGCCTTTGTTTACATACGCACATGTCGGCGACGCAGAATGAGAAGAGCGATAGTGGATCGTTAAATGAAACAGATGAACCAGAATTGGTTTGTAAAAATGCTGCAACTTCAGTGGTGTGGAACTGGTTTAGCTTTCATCCGTCAGATACACAACAAAGCACTATTTTTGGTAGCACATGCTAGCAGGCCGTCGTTATTACCGTGTTGTTTGGAAAATATGGCACACTTAAAATCAATCCTTTAATTTTTCTGAAAATTGACAGTGCCCCTTATAATCCCGTGTGCCTTATGTATGAATTCTGGTTGTGTTTACTGACCTCGAAACGATTTTATGTGGTACATGGTGCTCGAATATCTGTCAAGTGTTTTAGTGCGACTTTGCTAAGCTACGAACCCGCACCGCTTGATGGATTGTTGGAGCATTACGGCTATATTAGGCAGGCGCCTCGTGGAGTGATACGTACTGTGCTTCAACATAATATTACCGTGTTGTGTGTGTAATACCTCTTTTTAAGTTTTGTGGATATTATACATGGTTATGCTGAGGATATGTCGGCCAGTTTCCACTGGAAATGCCTTTTGGTTAAACTGTCAGCAAGGAATTTGCATTTGCACTGTTAAATTTTTATATGACTTTAATGCACATAAAAAAAAACAGCTGCTTGTTTAAGTGAAAATACATTGATGGGGTTTTTTGCACTAATAAAGTTGTGGAGTTGTAAAGTATTTTGTCTAGTGTCAGTTATATCGTCAGTTATATCGTTATCGCAAATTTTCAAATGTATATCATGATAAATATTTTTGGTCATATCCCACTGCTCTAGTCGGGACACTTATTAGTCAAAACGACCACACTACAGTTGTTATGACGGTGGAAATCGGCCATCTAAAACTGATTCCCTAGCAGCCTGTTATCACACTGTTTTTGTCTTTTTTCATTTTATGACGGTAGTCTACAGAGACTGACTTGATTTTGGAGCAACTCTCAAATGACTACTGGAGAACCTGTGATAGATTTCA